CTCTCTCTCTCTCTCTCTCTCTCTCTCTCTCTCTCTCTCTCTCTCTCTCTCTCTCTCTCTCTCTGTGTGTGTGTGTGTGTGTGTGTGTATGTGTGGATCATTCATCTTTGCATTGGGTTAGGCGGGGGGGAGAACAGCCTGATAATTATGAATTTGAAAGGCCATGATCGAACTGAAGCGCATTCAAGAACGAGCTTCCTTCCACCTGGCGAAGCAACTTCAATGAACAGGTGCGGTTCTAGGGCTGGTCGGTTCCGGTTGGCTTAACTTTCCGGTGAAGGGAAGACCAGAATGACCACTCGAGGAACCCGGCTGTTCTTTCCCCGTCAGTTGTTATTCGACACCGAACATAATTTCAAAATAGACTTACACGCGTTTTGGGAGCGCCCAACATCATTTCGAAATGGGGAAACGATAGAAGAAAAGAAGGCATGAGAACCTCGAAGCGATGGAAAAAAAGAGAGGATGAGCACGAAAGGCAATGAGAATGTGGGAAGCCCTGCACACTTAGCGAATTCCGCTGCCTCCGTTTCTTTTCACCCCTCCCCTCTCGTTCTGTCCTGACCTTACCGCTCCCTCCCAGTCCCTGCCGCTCTCGTTTCTCCCTTGCTGTCTGTCTCCAGCTCCTCCTCTCTTCCTCCGTTCTTGCCATCTCAACCTCCTTTCGTGCACTCCTACCTGTCCCTCTCTCTGTGCCTCCTTCAGGATACGTATGTCAGCAGCAAAATGAGCTGAGCCTATCCGATACGTATGGGCGGGCGGGCAAGTGCATCTTCCCGGACAGACAACCTGCCGCCTTACAACCTGCCGCATTCGCAATTCCCCTGAAGGCAGTCAGCTTGGGACATTGTCGTCAATACATCTGCTCAATCATGGTCACATCCCACTCAGGAAGTCTGCAAGTAAGCGCCCGCCCTTTTGCCCTTTTGCCCTTTTGCTTTCCTTAGAGAAAACATCGATCGGAGAGCATCAACTGCTGAGGGTGATAGGAGCGAGCTCAAATGAGTTCTCCCTGTTCCGATGGCTCCAATCTATTGGAGGGGAACTGCACCTGCTAGATAGCGGGTGCAGTTTCCCTTCGAGGACGAGGGATAATTTCCCGCACTGCGCATCCCCTCTTCAAGGACGCCTCCACCATACTCGAAATATGGTGCCAAGGAGGAGCAGGAGAAGGGGGCGTGGAGGAGGAGGAAGAGGAGGAGGAGAACCTAAAACATGTAGCCAAGGAGGAGCAGGAGCAGAGACCGGGAAGGAGGAGGAGGAGGAAGAGGAAATCCTAAAAGGCGAGGAAGACAACTTCACCTCCAAATCGCGCGCGATGCCGTCGGCGCCGGACAACGGTGGAGAAAAGGAGAGGACGAGGAAGAATCAAGATAGGAGGAGACAAGAAGAAGACAAACAAAACATGACGATCAATCCGAAAACGGGCTGGCTTCTGGGATGAGTTGATGTTACCTTGAGATCGACTCCTTTGGCTTAGCATCCGCTATGGTGGAGAGCAAACCACAGATGCAAATGGCGGCCAGGGAGTGCAATCCCCGGTGCGCGGGAAGACTACAAGTCTCGTCCTTTAGTCCGACTTGCGAATCACAACGGAAATGGCCCAGGTGTGACACGCTGTCGGACCGCAGGTCTTCCCGCGGCTGAAAATTGTGAACCAGAACCCCAACGTCCATGCCCGCGGCTTGCGGATCTGATCTTTTCTCAGCCTCCAGGCCAAAACTGAGGCGGCCCTGAGATGCGCATCTCTCCAGGTTCTGTGGCAAAAACGGTTACAAGTGGGTACCGTGGTGCCTTACGTAGCGGGGGGTTAGGACCTCGATCCAGCCCTCTCCAAACTCGATAGCGGGGGTTCGGGGTCCCCACCATGCTCCAAACTCGAATTTACGCGGTGAGCACACTGGAAGGCCGCCGTCGCACCACTCACGGCGTCCCGGGCTTGCTGCAACCCGCCCGCACAGTGAGTACTCACCACGGCCCACTCACCGCAGGAGAAAGGCGTTCTTCTGACACCCGGGCTGTGGAGAGTAGTGGACCGACGAGGCCTCTCATCAAACTGTGGTTCGAGAGCAAGGCTTGTATCAGCCCCTCATCACAATGATGCGGGGTGATCAGGCATTACCACGGGGGAAGGCCAGTCACTTGCACCTCCCCCCACGCCCCTCCAAACCCACATTAGCGGTGTCTAATGGCCAATATCATTGCTTCATAGCAACCAACAATATTTGGCCAAGGTCCTGCCAATGTTGGCTTGGAGAGCCAACAGGTTATCTCTAGCCAGTCACTTGCACCTCCCCCTACTCCCCTCCAAACCCACATTAGCAGTGTCTAATGGCCAATATCATTGTTGCATAACCACCAACAATATTTGGCCAAGGTCCTGCCAATGTTGGCTTGGAGAGCCAAAAGGTTATCTCTACCTTCTTCCCCCAAATACAACGTACGGTCATTATAGCTGTATTTAGACCGAAAGATACGCCAAATTCAGCATTAATGACCGTACGTTGTATTCGGGGGAAGAAGGTAGCCAGTCACTTGCACCTCCCCCTACGCCCCTCCAAACCCATTTTAGCGGTGTCTAATGGTCAATATCATTGCTGCATAGCAACCAACAACATTTGGCCAAGGTCCTGCCAAATGTTGGCTTGGAGAGCCAACAGGTTATCTCTAGCCAGTAGAACACCAAGCTTGCCCAGGCAACGTACGTGAGGCCAATGGGGGTTGAGCCCACGACCTCCTGAGTGCAACTTTTGTGCCTTACCAACTGAGCTAAGCCCGCAGGCTTGCGAGGGTGCATGTTCGCAGTCCTTAGCATAGCAGAACCTGCCCTTAGCATGAAGCAGAACCTGGGGAGGGGCTGAAGAGGAGGTTGTGTCATTTTCTACTGGCGGGTGGAGAGATGGTTAATGGAAGACCCAAAATTCCGGGTTTTTCGCCGCATCACTACAAGCAATGTTGTCGAAAATTTTGCGAACAAACTATGAAAGCTTACAATACAAACACCGAAGAAACAAACAGGCAAAAGAAAACGAAAAAAAAAACTTAAAAACACTATAAAACCCTATTTGGAGTAGCTTTCGGAGTTCGCCAAAACTTTTTCCAAATTCGGTGTTTTTGACAATATTTTTGTTATTGGTCCAAATACGTTGAAACTGAAAAAAAGTAAAAATTCAGGGAAATATGGCAGTTTCAGCGAAAAATTCGCCGACAATAACACCACCTATTAACCACAAGTGACAGTGATGCAGGTACCTAGGCTGGAGTCAAACGAAGGGTGAGGAAATGGGTGAGAGGTCAGTAAGGGGAAAGGGCACAATTGGGGGATGGTGGCATGGACAGTTGTGATACGCAACCTCATGCATCTCGCAGTACCCATAGGAGGGATGTCGATCAGAGTATGGGGCGTAGCTGAGGATTTTGGACAAGAGGGTGAAATCCCAAGGCAAGACCATAATTTCCCGTGTCAGTCAGAGGTTCCCTACAAAATGGGTCAGGGAGAAGATGACCTCAAGAAAAAGGATCCGTTCTTCGAAAGTGTCTTTTGCTCGGGGACCTTGGATGAAAAAGGGCTGCAACATTAAACCACCAATACCTTTCCCAGCTATCAAGTCCAAGCCTCCAACTACCGGTATGCCGAGCCTTGCCGAGCCTATCGCTACCGGTAGTGAGATTGACTTTCTTTCAAAAAGCAAAAAATAAATATAAAAGCAAAAGCAATAATAAAAACGAACTGTATTCTACGGAAAAAACAAAACGAAAAAAAACAACAACAAAAAAATAAAACGAGAGGGAGGGAGGGAGGGAGGAAGAGAGAGAAGGGCATAAGAGAGAGAAATCTGCAAAATGGGAATGAATCTTGCCGCTTTCACGGGAAGATTCATTCCTATTTTGAAGAGCAAGCACGCGCCTCCCTGCAGCACAGAGAGAGAGAGTGCAAGAATCTCGACACTACGCAGCAAACGTGCCGAGATCCTTGGCACTCAAGGATCTCAGCACTCCGCAGCAAACACGCCGATCTCTCTCTCTCTCTCTCTCTCTCTCTCTCTCTCTCTCTCTCTCTCTCTGTTTGCGCTAAGACTTTTTTTCTTTTTTCTTTTTTCTTTCATGTTGATATTGTTTTTCTATTTTTCCCCCCCCCCCGCGCAATACCCCTATGTCGAGCGTTTGCCCGTTGAGGGCGACAACCTCCCATGTTAACCACCGCAGTATTGTTTTCCAAGCGCGTACTGCTGGAAGCCACCGGTACCTTTCCCCGCTTGAGAATCAATTATGGGTCGGGTAATGTGGAAGCCAAGAGGGATAGGGCCACCGTTGATAAATTCAATCGGTAGGCTGTTTTTCGTTTCATGTTTTTTCTCCCGCTCATTGTCGATATATAGGAAAGGTACAGGTGGTTTAAAATAAAGATATGAAATGCAAAATCATAAAACTAGAGGGTAAGGTTTCCTTCAAACGGTTCCGAGGAACAAACCCATCCAAAGGGGCTATCTCGGTTAACAAGAGTCCTTGCTATCGAGCGGTGGAGGGGTTGGCGGAATAGGCACATGGAACTTCGCCAGAGTGTCAGCCGCGCGGCTGTGATTCGGCAATTGACCCGCTCCCTCGTACCTCAACATCAAGAGAGAGGGTTAATGGAAAGCCCGAAATTCGAGGGGGGTCGCTGCATCACCACAAACAATATCATCGAAAATTTCACATACAAATAATGCAGACTCATAATACAAGCGTAAAAAAAAAAAAAAGCAACAAAAAAAAGACCAAAAAAACCTCAAAAGCCTAGGTTACCAGTCGGGCCGCCCGAGTTACTCTATTTTCCTGAACGGCCCGACCGTGCAAGGACCAAGGAAGGTCCTAGCAAAAAACAAAATAATAATAATAGTAAAAAAATTCAAAAAAAAACTATGTTATGCAGAAAAATAAAATGAACAATTGTTGCCTTAGGGTCACATCAAAATTCTTACCAAATTTAAAATAAAAATAAAGTTAAAAAATAATTTTATTTATTTATTTTTGGCCCTGTCGGGCAAGTGGCCCCGAGCCACTCTGGTAGCCTAGTCAAAATCATTATAAAACCCTATTTTGAATAACTTTCGAAGTTCATTAAATTTGTATGCGAATTCGATGTTTTTGCCAACTTTTTTGTTACTGCTCCAAATACGTCGAAACTCGATATAGATATACCCTAAAGAACATACATATATATATATATATAAAAGAGCAAAAATTCAGGGAAATATGACAGTTCCGATGAAGAAAATCAGTCGAAAATGACACCACTTGTTTACCATTAGTGAACATCAACCGTCGCCACGAACATGAGTTACAAAATTTACACCATCAGAATTAATCTGGGAGGTTCCACATGCCATGTGTAGCCAACCGAGACAAGAATATCATATCCGAGTACGAAAAAAATAGTTGGGGCCGTCAAAGTAATCTATAAGAACAAACCCATCCCTATGAAAACGATAAGCTTTGAATGGATCGTAGAAGTGAACCCGATCAATTCGCAATAGCAACCTCCTTACATCCGCATTGGATTTGACAGTCATTGCCAACGACAAGAAACTGAAAAAAAGTGTTATGCCATATTGATACGAGTTTCGAGCTTGGGCAGTCGCTCGTTGAGACTCGGGGTCAGAAACACCGACTCCACGCAAATGACTTGTTATCAACACAATGCAATTAAAACCTTACATAATCTTGCAAAAATAAAAAAGAGAAAAAAACTTGAATAGTAATTACGATATGAAATAAATAACGTTCGATCATGCATTCCTTGCTACTCATACATACATAAGTGACGAGGCTATATAGTCATTCATACGTCATTGCAACTCATGCAAAAGACAAAGTGTAATGAGACCATCACTCGATCAGACATTTAGATGATCACACATTCATACCAACCACGATTGACGTCCGCCCTACAATGCAATCACTCACACATTCGGCACTAACAGTGAACGTCATTCACACACACTCAAATTTCAGCATGCATTTTGACATAAACAAGCAACGGTGGTGAAAAGCAAAGGTTTCTCAAATTCAGTCTTTATTGCACCGATCACCTTGCCAACCCCTTTCCCGGGCACAACTCCTGCCGCTCACCCTGCCTAATCCCCCAGTAAAACTCATGATCCGACGCCCCACTCCTCTTCGCAATGCTTCGAAGCCCCGGGTTCATCCAAATCGGTGAAGAGATGACTGAGATATGTTGAAATTTTCATCGCTCTCCCTCTGTGATCACCACGATGAGTCAGTGTGGGACGACGAAGAGCCAGAGCATCACTTACGAGCACGAATGAACGACAGTAACGGCGAAATGCACGGGTAGTAACCCACTTCAACATTCATCCAGAGTGTGCGCAAAGAGAATGGATCTTCCTTAAAAGAAGGGAAAGATACACCCCACACGCAGTACCTATCTTCCGTAGCAAAAAAAACACCCATTATCTTCAAAATCCGACTTCATAATCGGATTTGCCCACCATGAACCCCCCCAAAATGCATCTTAACTCGACTGGTTTCGTCAAGTGTCGCATTAGTTTCGTGTTTT